AGACGGCACCCCAGGGTCCTAAATGCCAGGGGCTAGGCTTCCGAGCGACCGAGGAATCTGTCAGGACCGAGAAGCACACTGGTTGTGACCGGGTTACTGGTGACCTCAGGACGATTTTCAGAAGAAGGAGGGACAGAGGACAGGAAACGTGTGTGTGTGTGTGTGTGTGTATTTTTTTCAATAGCTACCCTGGCTAACTCTTACTAGTGTTTACTACACACTATACTATACTAGGCACTATACTAAGTGTTTTGGATCAAATGACTCATTTATTCTTCACAACAACCCTAAGATGAGGAAACTGAGGTACAGAAAGACTTAATTTCTTGCCCAAGGTCTCCTGGCTCATGAGGGGCAGAGCCAGGATGTGCGCTTTCAGGTGTTAGGCCACAAAGGTTTCCTGACATGCACTCCTGCTTTGTAAAGACAGAACCAGCAAGGCCACATTTATGGCCTTCAGAAATAGAGGAAGCACTCATACTGGCAGTGGACGGTCATACAGGTGCCCAGGGCCTGGCCTCTGCAGTCCCGTGGGTTCCTTATGGGCTGCGGTCCATGGCCGGTGCCACACTTGCCTGTCGGTGAGGTGCTCCATCTTGAAGATGTGCACGGTCTCGGTGTTGCTGGAGGCGCAGAGGAACTGCGAGTCCATACTGAAAACCAGGGAGCTGATGGTCACGTACCTGGAAACAGAGCAGCGCACACCCAGTGAGCAGACAGTGGGGCGTGGCCTCAACTCACAGTTGAGCTTCGTAAGAAAACTAAGGATGTCCTGATAAGTGCTTGCTGTTCTGAACTCTCTTCGACATCACACTATTCCTGTTTAGAGGACGCACAGAAGGTCAAGGTCTCATGCGAGAAGACACAGCGCCCAGCTTGTCCTCTCAGGCAGCTGGGATGGGAGCTCTTCCTCGCGCCATCTTGGAAGTGTCTCAGCTATTCCGTGGGCCATCTGGCTGCTGGGATCTGTGGTTGGCGGCTGTGGAGTCACCCTCAACTCGTGGCAACCCCAAGCACAGCAGAAGCAAACACCGCCCAGTCCTGTGCCGTCCACACGATCGGCTGTGGATCGGACCATGGGGCACAGGGTCTTGCTGGCTGATTCTCAGAAGTCCGCCACTCGGCCTTCTTGCTGGGCGGTCTTAGTCTGGAAGCTCTGTGGAAACCGGTTCCACATCGGCGTGACGTGCCAGCCTCCACTGACAGAGGGGTGGTGGCTGCACACAAGGTCCCCTGCATGGAAGCGGGGGGCTCCACTACCAAACCAGTCATGGCGTCCTTTACTTCCGTGCCAGGGGGTCAGGAATTAGTTCAAGACGTGACCCCTCCGCGCTCTGCTTTCTCCTTGGCTAGCCACCCAAGCCCTCATCAACAGAGGACTCTCGCGGCTCAATTCCCTGCTGAACCAGCAGCTTGGCTCTCAGCTTCGTTAAGCACTAAATGGGGCATCTAAGCCAACTGAGAGCCAGAGGGTGCCCTGGGTGAGTGCTCAGCGACCAGCTGAGAGGGCAGCGGTTTGAGCCCCCTAGCCGTCCACTGTGGGTGTTCTGTGGGTGCTCAAAGTAAACTGTACCCTGAAAACTGACCTCTTCATTCCCCTCCGGAACTCATAGAGCTTTTGCCCGTCAGGTACAGAGAACACGCGGATGACTGTGCCCTGGAAGAGAAAGCAGGCCGCTTCAGAACCACTTACGGGTCTGCACAGATCTCCCCTTAGACAAGAGCGTGTGGTTTTGGTTTTGAGTATCTGTCTCTGAGGAGCAAACACCAAGTGTCAAGTGTGGAGGGGTTTTATTTGTAAAGGTGCCACAGGCAATTTGGGAAACATGCTTCAAACACTCTGCTCCCCACCGGAAGTGCTCCCCATTCCTACAGCATCCGACCTCAGCCTGTCACACTACACCTGCTTGACACGGCATCTGAAATTCATCGGGCACCCTCTGCTTCCTGCAGTCGGGTGCGATTAGCTGCCGCTGTCGCCAGCAGAGCGTCTGTGCGCGCTGCTCACGGAACGCAGCCTCCACTGCCTCCACGGGGGATGTGCATGTGCGTGTTTTAACACGGGCACAGGTTTTTCTTTTTTACAAAGCCTCTGGCACAACTGCAGGCCTGGGGTCTACTGAGTCGGTAAACAAGTCGCAAACCAGGCCGTTTTTATCCTGCAACAAATTCCGAGGGGGCCCAGAGACCAGGCAGTCCTCCCATCACTGGTCTCATCCCATCAGGCATCTGGGTGCCACCAGAGGCACCCATCAGGGTCCCAGAGGGGAGGAGTGGGTGGGTGCAGGGGCTTACACTCACCTTTTCTGAGGCGCTCGCTAGCTTGGAGCCTGAGGAGTTGAAGGTGACGGCAGCCAGCGTCCCCTCATGGGCTGCAATGGTGCAGACGGTTTTCTGTTGGGGGAGGGCAATGAAGGTCCTGACTCTTGACGGACGCGGGCGGCCATATTCCTCATTCGTCCTCTGGGCAGGCACGCGCCCTCGCTGGCTGGGCTCGTCGCCCTCCCTCCTTCCACCAGACCACCCACATCTACGCTGCACACCTTTGTTGGGTGTGTCAGCGTGTTGCTTCAGGGGCCACTCTGTTTCTGTCCTGCTTCCTGCCCTCAGCACCACCATGTGCTGTGCTGCACACGAGGCCACAGGCTCTCCCTGCACGTGTCCTCAGGGGACTCCCCAGAGCCGTCGGTGGTGCTGCCCTGTTCCGCCCAGGAGACCAGACACAGGAAGTGAGAGGCAGCCGCGTGGCCCAGCACAGCGTGACATACTCAGTCAGAAAATCAGTCCTCAGCTGGCAGGTGGTCAGCACAGATTCCCGACAGCCTGGATCGCTGCCTGTCATCACACTGACGGGTGGCAAGCCCCCGTGCAAAGCTCATTGATACCAGCCATCCCCTTCTCTGCACCCAGCGCACGGCCAGAATGAACTCCCCCGGCATCTTACGCCTCCACATCTCACCGCAACAGAACCGCCTCATGGTGCGCCACCGCACACGGCCGAGGCGGCAGCCTGCGTGGCGTGTCTGGGCCACTGTCAACTTACCAGGGAGTTTCCATCATAAAGCACAATCTCCCCTGTAGTCAGGCTCCCAGGATAGGCCACGTAAGAATTGGAATGGTTGATAGAGAGGGCACAGAGACCTGGCAAAGCAAACACAGGCGATGAAAAGCCAGTGTCCGGGACAGAGAAGTGGCCTGGTTGAAAGGGCACCTGAGAACAATACAACTACAGTGCCACCTACTGGCGAGGGGAGGACCGGCTTCTAAGACATTTACTTCCAGTAGGAGCTCTGGTGGCGTAGTGCCTAAGGCATTTGACTGCTAACCAGAAGGCTGACAGTTCAAACCCACCAGCCACTCCTGGGAAGGAAGATTGGGCGATCTACTTATGTAGAGACACTGCCTCAGAAACCCAAGGAGGGCTCGCTATGGGTCAGGACCAACTTGATGGCAGTGAGTTTGGTTTTTTGGTTTAGATTAATCAAAGGGGTTCCACAAAGCACACCCACAGGAGAAGATCTCATACTGGCCATGTCCCCTCTGCACCCACACAACCAGAATTTAGAATGTTACAACTGTTCTTCTTCAGTGTTACCCCAGGCTCTGAAACAACACCTGCTTCGCTTCCAGCTCCACTGACAACTGGGATAAATAATTCTGCTGTCCAACGGTCAGTATGCGTTAGCCTTCCTGCAGGTGATTAAACACAGTTGGCAAGTAGCTCCAGATTGGAGAAAAGGCAGCAGGGAGGGAAGGTCCTGTTCAGACATTGCTCATTTCCAAGCCAAACGTCCTGGAAGGAAGTGGGACCTCCAGAGTGGATGTGCATCTCGGGTCTGCAGCTGCTGGGGGGACGGCATCCATGCCATCTAATAACTCCATGAGGACAGTGTGGGTGGAGGATGCTTGGGCAGAACTCTGGGAGGGCAAACTGCCGCTGAAACCACTGAACAGACAAGTGCCTTTTCTTTACAACAAGATTTAAGGGGGGGGGTGTCTCAATAACATTTGTATTTTCACAGCAATGGCTTAGATGAATAGAGGTGTCCAGGATGGCAGCAGACGCAAGGGATTCCACAGAAGGCACTCACCAGAATAAGACGTGAAAGAACGTATGCAAAACATCTTGTTAAGTTAAAAAAAAAAAGATGGCTAATGTTTTGTTGTAAGTTAGTATGCTAAGTGAGTGTCTCATAAAAAGTATAAGAAAAAACTGTCAATTGGGCTGAAAGGTACATTGCTTCATCTGCTGGGGGGAGGAGCAGTGAAGCACACACACACACACACACACACACGTTCCGAAGTAGAACTAAGGTCCTGCCTCCACACCTGCTGTGGCTTTGCTGAGCACACGGCCAGGGCTGCCCTCTTACCAGCTGCCCTGCAGACCAATGGGAGGACAGTGACTGAGCCCCAGTACCTCTACACCATGTCCGGCCCCTGCAGCCCGTTGGTTTGTTCATGGCCACTCCTGGCCCTGGTCTTAGAGGAGACCATTCATACCCACCCCCAGTTTTGCTCTGGGAACCCTAATTTCCTGTCTGATCTTTGCAGTCCAAGGATGCTTTCAAGATGAACAGCTAGGCAGGCAGGAGGCATTCTGGTCTTGGGAAACTAGGGAGGGAAGACAATTAGGAGACTGGGTTGACTCACATGGTGGCTTCCTATAAGGGCAGTTAGTGGAAAGGACATCAAGAGTAGAATGGGGCACTGGGGCAGGACTTGAGCACCAAGCTGAAGACTTAAGATCTCAAATGCAGGGAGTAACTACTGAAGCTCTTGGAGCACATGTTTCTTTAAAAAGGCAGTGTTAGTCAAAACCACAAATGAGATACCACTTCACCCCACTAGGATGGTTATAATAATAATAATAATGATAAAAGCCAATCACAAGTGTTGGCAAGAAAGTGGAGAAACTGGAACCCCCATCCACTGCTGCAGAGAATGTCAAATGGGGCAGCTGCTTTGGCAAACAGTCTGGCAGTTCTTTAAAAGATTAAACACAGTTCCCATGTGACCTGGCAATTCCACTCCTCAGTATATACCCCAGAGAAATGAACACACGTCCACACAGAAGCCTGTACATGAGTGTATCTGGCAGTATGATTCCTAAAAGCCATACATCAGAAACAACTCACATGCTCATCAACTGATGAATGGATAAGTAGGATGTGGCCCGTCCATGCAATGGAGTATTACTGGGCAGCAGAAGAAAATGGAATACTGACACATGCTACAATATGGATGAACCTTGTAAGAAGTCCAGCAGACAACATATTGCATGACTCCATTTAGAATGTGCAGAAAAGTCCAATATTTTTTAGGCAAAAAGTACATCAGAGCTAGGGGGCTGCAGGGGCTGAGGGTGATGCCTAAGAGATGGAGGGCTTCCTTTTGGGGTGATGAAAATGGTCAAAACATTGAGCAGATGTTCTGACAATGACTGTGGTGATGGTTGTAGAGCCCTGTGAATATACTGAAAGCCACTGAATCTTATGGCTTAAATGGGGAACCCTACAGTATGTGGATGCTATCTCAGTAAAGCTGTGAAAAACAAAAGGCGATGTTATCTGGCAGGGACAAGCCGAGCACTTGGTTTCAAGATTCAGCTGTGCCACTAGCTGTGCGGCTTGGGCTGGGTTCTCCGGCCCTGCCAGGCCTGTTTTCTACCTGTGAATGCAGGACTGTGGTGTTCCAGGGTTCTCACCAGTGTCAACATTCCAAGATGCCAAGTCTTCGTGCACTTGTTCCTCCCTTTTCAAGTGTGAGGCAGGCCAGGAGGTCCATGTGGAGAAGCCTTGGGGCGGTGGTCCTTCAGAGCTTTAGGTGGTTGTTGTGAGGTGCCGTTGAGTCATCTCTGACTCATAGCGACCCTACGCAGAACAAAACACTGCCCACCCAGTCCTGCGCCAGCTCCACGATCCTTGCTATACTTGAGCCCATCACCGCAGCCACTGTGTCAGTTCATCTTGTTGAGGGCCTTCCCCTCTTTCGTCAACCCTCCACCTTACCAAGCATGACATCCTTCTCCAGGGAGTGGTCCATTCTGACAACATGACCAATGTAGGTGAGACGAAGTCTGGCCATTCTCGCTTCCAAGGAGCATTCTGGCTGCACTTCCTCCAGCACAGATGTGTTAGTTCTTTTAGCAGTCCACGGTACTCTCAGCATTCTTCGCCTGCACCACAACTCAAAGGCATCGACTCTTCTTTGGTCTTCATTGGGTTCAAGACTCAGCTTTAGGTTAAGATGTAACTATCCTAGAAAGTAGTAAAGCTCATGCTTGTTCAGATCACCTCCAACTTTCTGTAACACTTAGTGCACGATTAGACAGCACTAGAGTGTGACTATAAAAGGACCAAGGGTGATGGCTAGGGCAAGTGGATTCTGACATATACCACTTTGACAGTTTTGCCTCAGGGTTTGAGTCTCTGCCAATCCCACTGAATTCAGCCAAGGGCTCCTGCTCAACTACCCTTGCACACTTAATGAAGGTGCTCAGAATGCTTCACGTGAGTGCCTTGGATTTCTTCCAGTCCAAGCCTCCGAAAAACCAGCCAGCTAGGTGAAGGCATCTTTGTCTCCCGTGAAGTACCCGAGGGGACCATGGAGACTGTTTTCAGGCTCAGGTGCCATCATTCTACCTGTGCTCTGTGCCTTCGACAAGTGTTCCATAAACCCTGTCTCTGGCAGGAAATGGACCTTTTTCTTCTTACTATTTTATAATATAAAAGTGATACTGTAGAAGATGTACAAAGGCAGAACATATGAAGAAAGAGAAAAAAACATCCATAATTCTAAAACCTGGACACTTTTTACTACTTTCAACACTGGGGCCTGTTTACTTGCAGACTCTCTTTGATGGTGGAGTTAGGTTTTTTGTATGTGTTTCAGAATTGACATACACTTGCACACATCATTTTCAGCCAGAATTTCTCTGGAATGATTTGGCTATAATTCTTCTACACCTAGAAGTGTCTGGCATCAATTCAAGACCTAGTGGCACTGGACTTCCAGTAAGATGGAGGAATAGGCAGACAAGCTACACAGACCCTCTTCCACAAAGAAAAGAGAAACCAATTGACAGAGATACAGAAGATAATCCTGGAGCCCTGAACTTTGAAAGGAAATATACAGAAGGAAATTACGCTCTGGTGGCATAGTGCCTAAGGCATTTGACTACTAACCAGAAGGCTGGTGGTTCAAACCCACCAGCCACTCCTTGGAAGGAAGGTTGGACAATCTACTTCCATAGTAATTCCACCTTGGAAACTCAAGGAGGGGTTGCTATGAGTCAGATCCAACTGATGGCAGTGGGTTTGGTTTGTATTTTTTAGTGGAAAAACCTGAATGAAAACTGAGTATGGAGATGGTCGGAGCAGCAGACTGTCAGCTATTCTGATGGGACCAACAGCCTGAATATTTCCCAGGTGGTGTTGGGACCCAAGAATTGGTGACCCTGGTCACCAAGGGCTGCAGGGACAACTGCACTGGTGGCCTATAGCTAGGAAGGGAAAAACAAGGAGGGAGACAACCTGAGCTGTGGACTTTCAGCTGTCCGGAGGGTGCAGCCATTTTGACTGTGTATAAGTGGTAGCCATTCTGCATATTGAAAGTGACTGAGGGCACGGCCATTTTGAATCTTTACAAGCAGTGACCATTTTGGATTTAAAGTGACAGCATTCTCATCCAGATTCCAGGGACCTAAAAATAGGCTCTGTTTGCCAAGGACAGCAGGGACATACGGGGAGGCTGACAATGGGAAGGAGACAGGTGGTGAGTATATAAGTGCTGCCAACTGTGAATGCAGGAGCTCAGCACAGCACCCTGCTTATGTAGATAACATACAAAGAAAAATCATGGACAAGTCACTCCAGTATACAATCACCAATTAAATATAAATACAAAAACGTCACAATGCCTCAGAGACAACAGAGCATCACAGTCCACACAAAGAAGCAAGATAAAGCAGGAGAAACAAGGGACCAGGATACAGACACAAAATACATCCCTGAAGAAGATGCAGCATTGGAACTCCCCTGTAAGGAATTCAAAAGAATTATATTTAGGTAACTTCAATGAATTGAGAGACAGATCAAAGAAAACACTGTCAAAATTGAGGAAAACACAGAGAAAACACT